GATAAATAATCTTCTTAATGTATTGTTGGATCCTATTGGCTAGTATCTTGTTGAGAGTTTTTGCATCCATGTTCATCAGGGATATTGGTCTATAATTCTCCTTTTTGGTGGGGTCTTTGACTGGTTTTGGAATTAAGCTGATGCTGGCCTCATGGAACGAGTTTGGAAGTACTCCATCTCTTTCTATCTTTCCAAACAGCTTTAGTAGAATAGGTTATGGTTTCTTCTTTAAACGTTTCATAGAATTCCCCAGGGAAGCCATCTGGCCCTTTGTGTCTTGGGAGGTTTTTGATGATTGCTTTGATTTCCTCCCTGGTGATCTGCCTGTTCAGGCTCTCTATTTCTTCTTGTTCCAGTTTTGGTAGTTTGTGGTTTTCCAGAAATGTGTCCATTTCGTCTAGATTGCCTATTTTATTGGCATATAGGTGCTCATAATAAGTCTTTAAAATCGTTTGTATTTTCTTGGTTTTGGTGGTGATCTCTTTTATTCTTGATTTTATTAATTTGAGTCTTCTCTCTCTTGTTTTTAATAAGGCTGGCTAATGGTTTATCTATCTTATTAATTCTTTCAAAAAACCAACTCCTGATTTTGTTGACCTGTTCCACAGTTCTTCTGGTCTCTGTTTCATTGAGTTCTGTTCGAATCTTTATTAACTCTCTTCTTCTCCTGGGTGTAGGATCTATTTGCTGTTTTTTCTCCAGCTCCTTTAGGTGCAAGGTTAGCTTTTGTATTTGAGTTCTTTCCAGTGTTTGGATGGATGCTTTGTGATGTATTTCCCCCTCAGGACTGATTTTGCTATATCCCAAAGATTTTGAACAATTGTATCTTCATTCTCATTAGTTTCCATGAATCTTTTTAATTCTTCCTTAATTTCCTGGTTGACCCTTTCATCTTTTTATTTTTTTGCACTTTTCATCTTTTATCAGGATGGTCCTTAACCTCCACGTGTTTGAAATCCTTCCAAACTTTTTCTTGTGATTTAGTTCTAATTTCAAAGCATTTTGGTCTGAAAATATGCAGGGGTCAATCCCAATCTTTTGGTATGGGTTAAGACCTGATTTATGACCCAGTATGTGGTCTATTCTGGAGAAAGTTCCATGTGCAGTTGAGAAGAATGTGTATTTAGTTGCATTTGGATGTAAAGTTCTGTAAATATCTGTGAAATCCATCTGGTCCAATATATCATTTAAAGTTTTTGTTTCTTTGGAGATGAAGACCTGTCGATTTTAGAATGCACTACATTCAAGTCAACAAGTATAAGTGTATTATTATGTAAGTGTGTCTTAACTTTGGTTATTAATTGATTGATATACTTGGCAGCTCCCACATTTGGGACAAGAATATTCATGATTGTTAGGTCCTCTTGTTGTATAGATCCTTTAAGTATTATATAGTGTCCCTCTTCATCAATCACTACAGTCTTCGGGATAAACTTTAGTTTATCTGATAGAAGGATTAGTACCCCTGCTTTTATTTGAGAACCATTTGAATGGTACACGGTTCTCCTACCTTTTATTTTCAGGCTGTAGGTGTCCTTAGGTCTAAAATGAATCTCTTGTAGACAGGAAATAGATGGGTCTTGCTTTTTTATCCAGTCTGAAACCCTGTGCCTTTTGATGGGGTCATTGAGCCCATTCACGTTCAGAGTTACTATTGAAATATATGAATTTAGTGTCATCATGGTACCTATTCAGTCCCTTGTTTTGTGGATTGTTCCCTTGGAATTCATCTTTCTATTACAGAATCCCCCTTAAAATTTCTTGCGGAGCTGGTTTGGTGGTCACTTATTCATTCAGTTTCTGCCTATCTTGTAGCTCTTTATCTCTCCTTCTATTCTGAATGAGAGGCTTGCTGGACAAAGTATTCTTGACTGCATGTTCTTCTCATCAGGGAAATACAAATCAAAACCACAATGAGATACCACCTCACACCAGTGAGAATGGGGAAAATTAACAAGGCAGGAAACAACAATTTTTGGAGAGGATGCGGAGAAAAGGGAACACTCTTACACTGTTGGTGGGAATGTGAACTGGTGCAGCCACTCTGGAAAACTGTGTGGAGGTTCCTCAAAGAATTAAAAATAGACCTGCCCTACGACCCAGCAATTGCACTGTTGGGGATTTACCCCAAAGATTCAGATGCAATGAAACGCCGGGACACCTGCACCCCGATGTTTCTAGCAGCCATGTCCACAATAGCCAAACTGGAAGGAGCCTCGGTGCCCATCGAAAGATGAATGGATAAAGAAGATGTGGTTTATGTATACAATGGAATATTACTCAGCCATTAGAAATGACAAATACCCACCATTTGCTTCAACGTGGATGGAATTGGAGGGTATTATGCTGAGTGAAGTAAGTCATTCGGAGAAGGACAAACAGTGTACGTTCTTATGCATTTGGGGAATATGAATAATAGTGAAAGGGAATATAAGGGAAGGGAGTAGAAATGTGTGGGAAATATCAGAAAGGGAGACAGAACATAAAGACTCCTAACTCTGGGAAATGAACTAGGGGTGGTGGAAGGGGAGGAGGGCAGGGGGTGGGGGTGAATGGGTGACGGGCACTGAGGGGGACACTTGTCGGAATGAGCACTGGGTGTTATTCTGTATGTTGGTAAATTGAACACCAATAAAAATTAATTTATTAAAAAATAGTGTTGAAAAGTCCCTATCTGTATCAAATGCATAGTAATACTATACATTCTAATCCACCACTCTATGACATATTTTCATTTTCTTATATAAGAGCATAAGGACACTGAAAGCTTTCAGATACTTAAAAACCTTACCTAACTTAAACAGCCTCAAGCAAAAAGCATGTAGTATATAAAGAATAATTGTGTCTCTAACAAGATTTTAAGTTCCAAATGAAAACATCAGCAATTTGCCAGAAATTAGTACAGTTAGTTACATTGCACTCCATTTAGTAGAATGCAATAAAACATAACTGATTGATAAAAATACATATATATTGCTAACAGAGCATCTTCTTATTCATAGAGAAAGAGTGTTACATAATAATATATAATTCCATCTGACTTCTATTCATCCCTGTCATGCTGGTTGTTCAGATTTTTGAAACTTAAAGTACATTTTTAAAAAATGTTGTCTTTTTCCTCAAAACAGCTATACTAGGGGCACCTGGGTGGCTCAGTGGTTGAGCATCCGCCTTTGGCTGGGGTCATGATCCCAGGGTCCTGGGATTGAGTCCTGTGTCAGGCTCCCTGCAGGGAGCCTGCTTCTCCCTCTTCCTATGTCTTTGCCTTTTTCTCTGTGTCTCTCATGAATAAATAAATTAAATCTTCAAAAATATCCAGCGATTCTGAAGACTGTAATAAATACTTTTTTTTTACCTTCCTGAAAACACTTTCAAATAATGCAGAACAATTATATATAGCGAATACCTTCAAAATTTAAGAGACTTCAATAGATTTTTAATTGAGGGTACAAATATAGTCATATTACCTATATTCCACATCCTCATCCATTTTCTTTAGACTTAATCATAGGTACAAGGTTTGAAAATCAGTTTGAAAATTGGGAAAACTTCACTGAATTAGAATTGAGTAATTTAAAACTTGTAACAATTTGGACAGCTCCCAGTTGTAATGTTCCTTTATTTCATTAATCATTTTCCCCCCACAATTAATATATTAACTTTGTAAGTCTTCCCCAAGAGCATAAATTAATTCTGTAAAATATTGTAGAATGTTATTTTACAGAACACATGATTTTCATATATTTCAGAAACACACATGATGTAATAAATAATAAACAAATGTTACTTTCTTTTCATTATGATGAGGGATAGAAGCAGAAAAATGTTCACCTTTAGCCCGGAAGGCTGATCTATAGCTTGCATAGTTTTGATAAGTATCAAATAAGTGCTAGTTGCTATATTCTTAAAGGGTTTCATGATGGCCTGTATATCTCACTGATAGTGAATATTGAACTGATGATAAGCACCAGAAAAATCTTGGAAAAGTAGTTTTATGTGTAGAAATCTGAAGAGGACATTTATGATCTAATGCTCTTTGTGTGTCCCCTCCCAGTCAAGCACTAAACATACAACCACCAGTTTCGTACAGAATAAGGTCAGCTCTTTTGCCGATGAGACCTGTCCCTGTGTTCCTTGAATAAACTTACTAAGTTGCACTGTAAAAGGTCTCAAGAATTCTTTCTTGACTGTCATAGTCAATGATCCTGCAACAATCCCATTGGTTTTTTTAAACATTGTACTTAAGCATTATTTTTCTACATCTTCTAAATTTATATGCTTTGTAAAAATGAAAACATATGAAAATAACTTGCTAGAGATCAATTTATGGTTATTAATTTGGCACCCAAAGGGTCATATTCAGAACCCTTACTTTATTAAAAGTAGTAAGTTAACCGGTCACAAAATAACAAATAGTGTAAAAATATTTAGATATTGGTCTGCTTACTCCATTTTTGCAGTTCCCTTCAGGGTCTCTACTTAGGATAAAAGTGTGATTGGATTGGTTAGTCAAATTTTGAGCTGTCATGATCGAAATGAGTAAAAGTGTTTTGTTTTTAAAGTATTTTATAACTTAATTTTAAAAAATCAAACTGGTTTCCACCTGAACTGATTTTAGTGAGATTTTACTAAAATTTGCTTAATGAGCATAAAAACAAATTTTCCTATATTATATCATATTATAAAACAGTAGTTGTCTTTTTTTTTCAATTCATAATTTCAGAAGTAGATTTAACAATGAGTGGGATAGTCATTTAGAGGATACTTTTAAGGAATGCTTGTATCTTATTCAACAAATAAACTAACTCCACTAATATTAGCAAACAACACTAGGGAGAAACATGTATTTACTGTCATATTTTTACACTAGAGTCTGGTACAAAACCATTAAAGAAACTTCATAGAACACACATTAAGAAACAGAACTTAAGAATATCTCTTACATTCATAAAACCAATTAAAGGGAATAGAAAGGAAATATGAAGTGTTTTTTTTCATACCTGTGGTTGGGGATGAATCCAGATCTCCACAGTTGTTGATTCTTTCATGGGAGTGTGAGATCCCACAGCCTCCTTCATTGCCTTAGAAGGAAAAAATTTATATATATATATATAAGTATTTTTTCATTGGTTTGTTAAAAATGAAAAATGTAGCGCATTGCACACATGCCTGAAATATGGGTAAATAAGATAGTGCCTAGATAAATCTCTCTTTCTACATATCAGAATAATTGAAGAGTTGTAATATGACAGGAAAAACTCTAGGCACTGGGAATAGAAAGAGAAAATTTTCTCATGGAGCTTAAATTTCACTGTTATTTAAGTGTTCCATTTAACATATGAATGGAAATGTGGAGGACAATTTATAATATTCAAATAGATGAAATTTAAGCTGGATATATTTTCATTCCAATGCTATTACAGCTCATTGACTTCAACAGCTTGTATTTATGAATGATCTGAAATGAAAACCTGTCCTGTATTTGCCAGCATATCACAAATTTGCTGCCTACCATAAAAATATATTTATTAAGTGCCAAGAAATTTCTGAACCAGTACACAGATACTAATCTACCAACCCCACAAAACATGAGAGACTCCTAACTCTGGGAAACGAACAAGAGGTAGTGGAAGGGGAGGCGGGGGGTGGGGGTGAATGGGTGACGGGCACTAAGGGGGACACTTGACAGGATGAGCACTGGGTGTTATTTTGTATGTTGGTAAATTGAACACCAATAAAAATTAATTTATAAAATAAAAAAAAATCATTCCATTTACTTACGAATTTCTAGAGAAATTTGTGATAATTTCTCCACAGAATACAGATATAAATCACTGTATAAGCTCTTCTTTTCATAAGTTTGTTGTGTTTTAAATTATTATACATAGATTTCTTGGGCTTAATATGCTCATAATTTCCTTCAGGCCCATTAAAGAAAATAAACATATTTCATTTTCCAAAACTCATTATCTTTTAAGAATGTCTCCTGGAGGGCTTTCAATACCTTGCACAAATATGCAAATACTTATATGGATGTCCAAAATAGAGATCTCATATATATTTCATGTTCTGGCTTGAAGATGAGAATGAGTAGCATACCTTTATTTTTCTAATCCTTGTTACATTGTGTAAATAAGGATTTTATGAAAAAGAATAATGGTGGGTTCCTAATCTAAAAATAACATTCTCTTTTCATTGTGGGAGTTTGGGAGCATAGTGGGTAGGGAGGACATACTGATGCTATTTTATTTTGTTGACCAAACATAGATTTTTCCCAAGTGAAACTGGGATTCTCAACACCATTAAGCATCAGGACCTTCTTTCAGATTCTAAAAAGCTTTACTGTGATGTGTCTAGCCCTGACTGTTCTGATCTTCATGCACCTGGTGATACTAAGGACAGTGCCTGGACATTTATTTTAGTGTTTTTCTAGTATATTCTCTAGCAAGAAGTGTCATACTTCCATCTGCAGACAATATTTCCCTCATTATAATTATCACTCTGCACCCAATCTTCCTACCATCAGGAGTTGCCTTACTCTGATTTTCTACCAAACTCAAAATGAAACCATACACCTATTTGGATACTTCTGCAGAATATAATCATTTTGATTGGTGGAGTAAATACAATAGATTCTGTAAATTTCTACTTCAACTGAAAGTAATTTTTAAAAATAAAGTTACAAAGATTAGTTAGGAACTTGAATTACCTACCAGTCTTGTGTGTACAGACACAGGAGTTTTGAAAGTTGTCGCTGAATAGCTCCACTCAGAAACACTGTAAGGATCAGAACTGCTGGAGGAACACTTGGAGATGAAATCACAGGCCACAAAGGTGTTATCAAGAGACAGTTCCTGGATGATGTGGTGTTTTGAATTCAGGGGAGTTTCAGCCTGGATCTGGAAGGCAGGCTGTGGAGAGGCCGACTTGTAGTGCCTGGCCAAATCAGGGCTGTCAGGCTTGAAGGTAGTAGGTATAGTGCCCCAGTTGTACTTGCACATGGTTTGTTCTTCCAGCTCAATGGGAATATCTAGTGTGACAGTGTTTCCATCATTGTCAGCATCATTTGCCTTAGTTTCTTCAATAGTGACAAAGTTAAGCAATAAGTTCTTAGGGGTATGCTTTTTCTTTTTCTTCCTTTTTTTCTTCTTTTTCTTCTTCTTCATCACCATCATTATCATCTGCCTGTTTTCTGGGTTTGGAGTAACCCATTCAGAATTTTGCTTGTTTTTCTGAGCAGCCTTAAGGTGTGGTGATTGGCGGCATCTTACTATAGCAGTAATGAAAATAACAAGGATAACAGTTATGGTGCCAGCAATAATAGCAACCATGATCTTGACATAGTCACTGGTTGATGAGGATGCATCAGTTGTCCCAATCTTTGGGGCCACTGGTACTTCAATGTTTTTGTACACCAATTCATGAATCCAAGTAGCATTGGTCACTGACTCATTCACAAATAGATTAACAATTACAACATTGAAGAGAGATTCAGGTTGTCCTAAGTCCTTAGCTTTAATTATCAGTCTGTGTAATCCAAGGTCTGTAACAACACATTTATCCTTCAGTGTGATGTTGCCTGTTGTTTGGTCAATTATAAACAGACTTTTTGTGTTTCCCCCTACAATGCTGTAATGAAGCTCTGCATTCATGCCAGTGTCATTGTCAACAGCAAATACTGTAAAGACCACTGTGCCTGGATTAGTGGATGGTAGAACCAATTCATAGGAGTTGTTGGAAGAAGGGACAATGAAAACTGGTTTGTTGTCATTGACATCAACCACATTTATGGTCACTTTGGCAGTTGAAGAATGTGATATCTTACCACCATCCTCAGCCTTTACATAGAAAGTATAACGTTCTTGTTTTTCTCTGTCAAATGAGATATTTGGTTGGATGACACCAGTCTGTGGATCAATGGTGAATTCATCATTCAAATCTAAAATGTAGAGAGTGACTGCAGAATTTTCTCCATAATCTGGATCAGTTACAGTGATTAGTCCTACTGTGCCATGTCTTGGAAGGTTTTCTGGGACATAGAAGTTGTACTCATTGTGAGTAAAAATTGGACTGTTGTCATTCTGATCAAAAATGGTTACTGAGACTGTGGCATTGGTTATTAAGGATGGCATCCCCTTATCTTTTGCCAGAACTGTGAAGGAATACTTTTCCTGTTTCTCTCTATCCAGTTTCTTCACTACAGTCAGAATGCCTGTATGATGATCCAGGTTGAATTCAGATGGAGCATCAACACCTAGCAGATAATTTATCTCCGCATTATGTCCACTGTCTGCATCCATTGCACTTATTTCTGTCAACTTGGTGCCAGGAGAGTTATTCTCAAGAAGAGAAAGACTTATGAGAGGCTGGGTGAAAACAGGAGCATTGTCATTTTCATCTTTCACTTTAACAAGGAGCACGGATGATTGATTCAGAGGAGGTTTGCCAACATCTGCAGCTAGTAATTTAATTGCATATTCTCTTGTGGACTCATAGTCAAGATATGCAGCAGTCTCCAGGAGAAACTGATTACTGAATACTGGCCTTAATCTGAAAGGGACTTCATGATCTGTGAAGCATGTCACCATGCCATTATGGTCAGCATCTTTATCTGTCACGGTTATGAGAGCAATTTTGGTGTTGAGTGGAGCATTTTCTGAAAGAACCACAGTGCCATTGATTGGATTAATGATGTATCTTATGTCAATTGATGGAGCATTATCATTGATATCTGTAACATTTACTAGAACCATTGCTTTTGCTGGTATCAATCCACCATCACTTGCCAAAATCAGTAACTTGTGGTTTGGTGATGCCTCCCTATCCAGTGGTTCTTGGATTGTGATAAGTCCAGTGGTGGTGTTGAGGTGAAATAGCCTCTTAGCGATGTTGGAGACTAGGTTGCTGAAATAGAATTGAATCTTGGCATTTTCACCTATGTCGGCATCTGTGGCATGAAGCTGTGTCACTGAAGTACCTACAGGAGCATTTTCTGGTATATTGACTTCAATCTCATCCTCTTTGAAGACTGGACAGTTGTCATTTGTGTCAGCAACACTTATTTGCAAAATAGCAGTACTGGATCTTTGAGGAAAGCCACCATCTTCAACCTTTACTTTCATTACATATGTATCCTTTTCTTCCCTGTCTAACTCCTTTTGAACAATCAGCTGTGGCATCTTGTCTCCTTCTGGTGTTTCAATGACATTAAGCCCAAAAGTACTTTGACCCTAGAAAACATACAATGAAACATATTTTAACTTATGTAATAAGACCAATTTTTAATTTATTGAAGTCATGTAACATAGGATCAGCTCAGAAATAGGTGCCAGAAGACTTAAGTTCTAAGTCTAAATTCTGTCTGTAGTATTGTGACCACAAGCAAGTTGCTTAACATCTCCAAGCATTTGTAAAATTAGAGACTTGTGCTATAAGATGTTCTGAGAGCTTTTCAGTTCATAGCATTTTATGGTAATAAATGTAAGTCAGTTATGTAAAGTATTGAAGTCTACAAAAGGAAAAAGTATAAAAAGTTATTGGTATTTCACATAGTGAATGAAATTATAAGCGAATTAACCATGGTTACTCCAAATGAATGGAAATATTTTACTGTAGATTTCAGTTGCCTAGGATGCTTTTTCACCACCAGAAGTAACAATCAAGTATAAAGATATCCATCCAAGACAAGAACATACATCTGAAAATATGAGTAAAGCCTCTGATGGTGGGAGAAAATACACAAACTCTGATAAGAATAAAACTTTGTGTAAAATACACAGAATTTCTATTTTTCTATAGAAACAGGTGTTAAAAATGAAATTTTCTTGGAAATTAACAATGCAATATTATTTAACTTTATTGTTATTTTTTAAAAATGAGCAAACACAATAGACTGAAAATCACATGTCAAAATGTCAAATCGGAAAATATAGCTTGGAAAAGTACCAATTTTCTTTTCATGTCCATGGAGTCAGATTATGGGGATCTTTAAAAAAGTCTTCTTTGGTTCTGGCTTCCATTTAAATCTCCAAGGAGGAAGTGCAATTCATATAAAATTGTAAAATATTTAACATGCATGGGCTGTCTTAAGTGCTGCTTATCAGCACACAAAGGGTCTCATATTACTTTTTAAAGATTTTACTTATTTATTTTGACAGAAAGAGAGAAAAAGAGAGCAGGGGAAGTGGCAGAGGCAAAGGGAGAAGATCTCAAGCAGACTCCATGCTGAGCCATGGAACCCAAAATGGGGCTCAATCTCATGACTCTGAGATCATGACCTGAGCCAAGATCAAGAGTCTCATGCTTAGTTGACTGAGCCACCTAGACACCTCAAGGGTCTCATACTTTTAACAAGTCTTTTAAATAGTCATATATCCTAATTTTGTTAAAGTCCAATTTATCAAAAAAATTAAATCTCTTCCTTGAAGTACAATAGGATGAGACTTACACAGATAGTTGTTTTGCTGACTGATTGATTAGTATTGCTGATTGCCTCTCACAGGCAGTCTTATCCAGTTATCTGTAGCCTTTTGACAGAAATGAATGAGATTAAAAGGTACTGGAAGATGTGAAAAAATTATCAGAAGAGTACCTTAAGATTCCTATTACAAAGGGAAGGGAGAAGAAATGTGTGGGAGATATCAGAAAGGGACACAGAACATAAAGACTTCTAACTCTGGGAAATGAACTAGGGGTGGTGGAAGGGGAGGAGGGCGGGGGGTGGGGGTGAATGGGTGACGGGCACGGAGGGGGACACTTGACGGGATGAGCACTGGGTGTTATTCTGTATGTTGGTAAATTGAACACCAATAAAAATTAATTTATAAAAAAAAAGATTCCTATTACATGGGTGATTTATAAATCTTTACACACACACCCCACTTTATTTATTTATTTATTTATTTATTTATTTATTTATTTATATTAAAGGTTTATTTATTTATTTGAGAGAGGGATAGCACAGATGGAGAGTGAGGAGAAGCAGACTACCTGCTGAGCAGAGTCGAATGTGGGGCTCTCTCCCAGGACCCTGAGATTGTGACCTGAGCCTAAGGCGGACACTTAACTGACTGAGCCACACAGGTGCCCCAACCTGCTATATTTTTAAATTATTCATAGATTTGTTTAACACAAAAGTTACTGGCATGTGGCAGGGATCAGTTATTGGTCTCTCATTTATGTGCTCTGCATTTAAAAACAAGTTAACATCTGAGGGAGTATTTTTTTTCACAGTTTTATCATAGCAGTTTCTAAAACATGATCCTAAATGTTAGAAACAAATAACTGATATTCAGTTAATAGGGGTCACTAGACTATATGGTGAGATTATATGGTTATATTATAGTTTTAATTACCAAAGTGTTATAATTGTGTATATATGATCTTGTACAATATTCAAATACATATATCTGGTACCTCTTGAACCACTTGAATATATTTCTGCAAATTTCTGGATTTTTTTTGTGCTGATATTCACTTACATTTTTATTCAAATCTAGAACCATAATATATCTTGGTAGAATAATTAGATGTTTATTATTAAATTTAAGATGGCATTTCAGAAATAGTAGCAGTTTGGGTTCTCCTACTCTGCTGCCATCTTCCTTTCTCCTTGATCTGCTTCAATGTGAATTTTAAAAAATCATATGATGTAATCAATGTGTGTTGGGTATCTTGTTTTAAATCCATACAATAGGGATCTCTGGGTGGCGCAGCGGTTTGGCGCCTGTCTTTGGCCCAGGGCGCGATCCTGGAGACCCGGGATCGAATCCCACATCGGGCTTCCAGTGCATGGAGCCTGCTTCTCCCTCTGCCTGTGTCTCTGCCTCTTTCTCTCTCTGTGACTATCATAAATAAATAAAAATAAAAAAAAATAAATCCATACAATAGAATGAATATTTTATTAATATTTAATTCATATATACCAATAAAAATTTGCCTTTCCTTTGAATAAAGTGTTTAGCAAGGGAAACATTTTTCAAGTCAGAACTATTTAAAAGTGCAAAAGTTATTTATTTTAATTTTTTTTTTTTTTAATTTTTTTTTTTTTATTTATTTATGACAGTCACAGAGAGAGAGAGAGAGAGGCAGAGACACAGGCAGAGGGAGAAGCAGGCTCCACGCACCGGGAGCCCGACGTGGGATTCGATCCCGGGTCTCCGGGATCGCGCCCTGGGCCAAAGGCAGGCGCCAAACCGCTGCGCCACCCAGGGATCCCGCAAAAGTTATTTAAAATTTGATCTAAAGGGCAGCCCTGGTGGCTCAGCGGTTTGGCGCCGCCTTCAGTCCAGGACGTGATCCTGGAGACTGGGACTGAGTCCCATGTCAGGCTCCCTGCCTGGAGCCTGCTTCTCCCTCTGCCTGTGTCTCTGCCTCTCTCTCTCTCTGTCTCTCTGTGTGTATGTGTGTCTCATGAATAAATAAATAAAATCTTTTTTTTAAAAAGAGCTGTTTAAAAAAATTTGATCTAAATAAACTCAGATATATTTTTTAAAGATTTTATTTATTTATTCATGATAGACACAGAGAGAGAGGCAGAGACACAGGTAGAGGGAGAAGCAGGCTCCAGGCAGGGAGCCGGACAGGGTACTCGATCCCAGGACTCCAGCATCACGCCCTGGGCTGAAGGCAGACGCCAAACTGCTGAGCCACCCAGGGATCCCCTAAACTCAGATATTAATGATAATTTTATTTTTGTAACTTTTTTTAAAAGATTTTATTTATTTATGAGAGACACAGAGAGAGAGAGACAGAGATATAGGCAGAGGGAGAAGTAGGCTCCCTGTGGGGAGCCTGATGTAGTGCTCAATACCAGGACCCTGGGATCCCTACTTGAGCCAATGACAGACGCTCAACCACTGAGGCACCCAGGTGCCCCTTTTTGTAAAGATATTTTATTTTATATATTTTTTAAAGATTTTATTTATTTATTCATGAGAGACACACAGATAGAGAGAGGCAGAGACACAGGCAGAGGGAGAAGCAGGCTCCATGCAGGGAGCCCGATGTGGGATCATGCCCTGGCCGAAGGTGGCGCTAAACCGCTGAGCCACCCAGGCTGCCCTGTAAAGATATTTTAAAAGGCTTTTACCAAGACCCTGAGATCATGACCTGATGCAAAATACAGAGTCGGATGATTAACCAACTGAGCTACATAGGCACCCCTAAAACAACTCTTTTTTTCCTGTTAGTGATATAATAAGCTAAAGTGTCAATCTCTGGTAAAAATTTACAACTTCAGAAAAAAATGATGAAAAATAATTTTTTGTGTAAGTAAGCCAGTGTGGTAAGTGGCCAGTACATTATTTATAAAATACAAAACTCTACATCTTTAAACACAAATAATAAAAATAGAAAACAAAATCTCACAGAATAATACAACATATTATATGAATTGGATGAAATGCATTATATGTTGATTTTGGATTCTGATATCTTAAATGACATTGATCTCAAGCACAAGTTAAAATAAATTGTGGGGGCACCTGGGTGGCTCAGTTGATTAAGCATCCAGATGTCGTTTTGGCTCATATTATGATCTCAGGGTCGGGTCATGAGATCAAACCCTGAGTCAGCCTCCCCGCTTAGTGGGGAGTCTGCTTAAGATTCTCTCTCTTCTTCTTCTCCCCTTGCCCATCTCCTTCACTGCCTCTTTCTCTCTAAAATAAATAAATAAATCAGAGAAAGGCAAATACCATATAATTTCACTCATATGTGGAATTTAAGACACAAAACAAACATTATAGGGAAAAAGAGAGGGAGACAGGAGCAAATCAAGAAAAGACTTAAATGTAGAAAACATATTAGTGGTTACCAGAGGGGAGGTGAGTGGGGGGAGGGGTTAAATAGGTGATGGGGATTAGGGAGTGCACTTGTGATGAGCACTGGGTGTTGTATGCATTGAAACACTAAATTCTACATCTAAAACTAATATTACACTGTTATGTTAACTAACTGGAATTTAAATGAAAATTTAAAGAATAAATAAATAAATAAATTTCCAAAGAGATTCTAAAACTGACTAAAAAGCTGTTTACTCTGTAGATCTAAGAATGTTGGGGAAAGACTAAAATTTTACTTCTGAGCTTTACTCCTACTAGACTTATTCAAACCAATCTATTTTTTTTAATCAGCTTTTCTTACTTCTACTGATACATCTTTGAGCAAGATAAATGCAAGGACATGGTTTCCAATGGATAAAATCACAGAGATGTGATTTAATATTAGGGAA